GGACTCTTGATCAGTATTTATGATCACCTATGATAATGTGATATTTTTTGTTACCTGTTGGTTAATGTCCATCTGTATTAAAATACGAGTTCCAAGAGGGCAAGCACCCTGTTGCTTTGTTCACTGCTGGAACATCATACTGACAGAGATGCCTTGTACATAATACCAATGTCCTAAATATTTGGTGAATGCATCTTTAGAGTAGGAATTGTTGCCACTTAGCATAATGTCTCCACTGCCTAATATAGTGCCTAGTACATAGAAGGAATTCCAGAAGATACTAGTTAAATAAATTAATGAATAAACTCATGGACAGTACATGTTTTAGAATATTTTTTAGGCATGTCCTTGAAGTGAACCAATGATTATTTAGATCTCTGTGTGTCCATATAGGTCTTTTGTACTCATCTCTGTCTTCAGAAATATACTAGATGAAAAGATGCCCACTTGCCTCTTTGACATCTTCTTCTGGAAAACTTAAAGGAATTATAAAATCAGTATGTTTGAAACTGAACCCATGCTCTTTATCCCTAAACCAGATCATCCTCTAATTTTCTATCAGTACATTTACTGATAGGCTGGGAATTCCCTTTCTCCCTCAAATCTTGATTTTCAGTCCAGCATCAAGTAATGGTGATTTTATTCCTTAATGGATCTCGAATCTGCTCACTTCTCTTCCTTTGCATGAGTGCCACATGTCCAAGCTACCATTAACTGCACCTAAGCTACTAATTAGTCAATGAACATCCTTTCCTATACTCTTACCAATCTAAACTTTAATTAGTTAACTCTCTTCTTATGAACTTTTATCAGTTGCTTTGCTGATGAGACAAAGTCTAGAATCTTTAACATGGCCACAGGCCCTATTCATCCCATCTCATACCATATTCCACCTCACTGTCTGAACTCTAGTCACTGGCCTTCTTTATGTCACATGAGATTGTCATGTCTTCATCCTCCCCCATCACAGAGCTCAGCCAAACACATTCCTCCTTCTGCTCCACTTATTGTTCATATATTAAATCTACAATTACTCCCTCACAACCTGACCAAGTCAAATACCTCTGCCGAACTTGTCACCTTGTCCATCTCCTATAAACACTTGTAGTTAAAGTCTAACCTTTATGTGTGTCGTTATTAGATTAATAAGGATCTCTTGGAACTCTAAGCTCCACCAAAGTGGGGTATACAGTATTTTTGGCATACTGGAGAGAGCCAATAAATATTTATTAACTTAAGGAAAGAATGAATGAATAAATGGGAGGCATTTGAATTTGGTCAAATCTTTCCTAGTACATCTCAGAATAAACAGGGCTGGAGCCTGTGTTCTGAGAGTGTAGTGGGGCCAAGAAGAGTCAGTAAACCAGAAAACTGTGATGTACAGGGGATCTTACTCATTCCAGACCTATATGCTTTTTACTGAATATTTTACTGAAAAGTGAGAGTCTCGCTCACCTCTCGTGGACTCCTGTTTGGTGGGAAAGAAAAAAGAAAAGTAGATCACAGAAGACCTGTAAAGATTAATTTCACCTGTAGTAAGGAAGAGGAGAAAGGATGGATCTTAATTTGTTGTAGTGTGCGATTCAGGAGCAAAGTACTACAGGTTTTTGTTTAATATAGCCAACTTTAAAATAAGTGCTGTATTCTAAGAAGGAGTTTTATCTTTTGGGAGTGTCCATTAGAAGTAGGTGTTTTACCAGTCAGAGCGGCGAAAATTAACCACTCAGGAAATGTAGAGAACCCTCTTGCACTGTTGGTGGGAATGCAAACTGGTGCAGCCGCTCTGGAAAACAGTGGGGAGATTCCTTAGAAAATTAAAAATAGAACTATCCTATGACCCAGCAATAGCACTACTAGGAATTTATCCAAAGGATACAGCAGTGTTGATTCATAGGGGCACATGTTTATAGCATGTTAAAGCTCAATGTTTATAGCAGCGCTTTCAACAATAGCCAAATTATGGAAAGAGCCTAAATGTCCATCCACTGATGAATGGATAAAGAAGATGTGGTTTATACATACAATGGAATACTACTTGGCAATGAGAAAGAATGAAATCTGGCCATTTGCAGCAATGTGGATGGAACTGGAAGGTATTATGCTAAGTGAAACAAGTCAGTCAGAGAGAGACAGATATCAATGTTTTCACTCATATGTGGAACTTGAGAAACTTAACAGAAAACTTTGGGGGAAGGGAAGGGGAAAAAATAGTTACAAACTGAGGGAGAGAGGCAAACCATAGAGACTCTTACATACAGAAAACAAACTGAGGGTTGATGGGGGATGAGGGAGAGGGAAATGGCTGATGGGCATTGAGGAGGGTACTTGTTGGGATGAGCTCTGGGTGTTGTATGTAAGTGATGAATCATGGGAATCTACCCCCAAAACCTAGAGCACACTGTATACACTGTATGTTAGCCAACTTAACAATAAATTATATTTAAAAAAAAGAGCAAAAATAATGCACAGCCACCGGCCCATAAAAAAAAAGTAGGTGTTTTAAACTTTTTACTAGTTTTAGGGTTCATTTAAATAATTTTTTAAATCGAAATGTTGGTCATATTAAAATGTAGTATTTTTAAGTAGTATTTTTCTCCCATTTTTCCCACCATGAGAATCTCAAATGCTGCTGTTGTGACACCAAGTTAGAAAGTATTCCACTTTAGAAATCAAAAGTACAAGAAATACAAGAAGAAAATATGAAGCAGGTACACCTTGAAGGAGGAAATTTGGGACATGGAGCAGAACGGGGAGAGGAAAAGATAGAATCACAGGCAGTCTTCCACATACTGCCTCATATTCCTGTGTTTTTACTTCCTTTTGTTCCTCGACCAGGAATTCATAGGAAGCACATGCCTAATATGTGATAAGCCCTCAGAAAATGCTAACAACTTTTCTACATTTTATTAGTTAATAAGCATCTGCTTTAAAAATGCCACTTCCTGGGGCTCCTGGGTATCTCTGTCAGTTAAGCGTCTGACTTCAGTTCAGGTCATGATCTCACAGTTCCTGAGTTCAGGCCCCACGTAGAGCTCTGTGCTAACAGCTCAGCCTGGAGCCTGCTTCAGATTCTGTGTCTACCCTGCTCTCTCTGCCCCTTCCCTGCTCGCACCCTGTCACTCAAAAAATAAATAATAAAAAAAATTAAAATGCCACTTCCTTTAGCTGGTTATGAATGACTGACCATAAGTCACACACACGTCAGTTAGAATAGACAAAGGGGAAAAGGAGGAAACACTGAGGTCCCCCCTAACTGTCACCGTAGCTCTGCAAAGTGGCAAATGGGAAAGTGAGAAGGTTCAGAAAGACTACAGGAGAGATGTGAAGATACATAGCTACCACACAGCAGAGCTAGACTGAAGACAATGTCTCACACACAGGACTGTCGTTTGCTTCTGTAACTGTACTGTTCCCAACATGCAGGTCACACCCGTTACACTGAAAGAATGGATGGGGCCACTGGGAGAAAGATTGGGTGTGATGTGGAAGCACGGTTCTATTTTTGGTGGTCAATGCTTAAACTATTCTGCCCCACTAATCCATTTTTTATGGTTTGCCAACAGAGAGGGCACTCAAAAAGGTGATTCTTTTCCTTTTCATCTTAATACAACCTAGAACCCTTACCCCAGAACTTAGCACTAAATTGCTATTTGTGGGCTATCTTGGGAATTTAACTAACACATACAACAGTATTTCTAGATGATAGATTCTTAATCCCAAGTAATTAACTTAGTTTACAGATGCTTGGAACATAGTTCCTCTACCAAGTAGAGGATTGCTTGGAGTTGGTCTAAACACCTTTGTCAGTAGTTAAAAATTTGGGTAGTATTTGTATAATTCTAAAGTATTTGTATAATTTGGGTAGTATTTATATGATTTCAGATGGCTACATGGTGCTTTGCTTAAAACAAGTTTGTTTCCTCATTTTGAAAAGGGAGGAACTATCGTCATTCCTAAAAAAAGATTCTAAAAGCTTCTTGTGTGGGCTTTGGGAAAGAGTGGGTAACTAGATGTAGTTACCTAGAGGACTCCGAAATGTTAAAATAGAAGGCATTAATTAACTGAATTAACTGTGTGCCCTGACTTCTGCATTTGCCCCATGTATTAAGGTTTTATTTATTTATTTTTCTTTGCTTATTTTTAAGTAAGTCCTGGAATTGTGCTTTTTTTTCAGAGCCCTAGATTCCTTTTCTGACTGAACTTTCACTGTAATAGATAAATTTCCTGCTCTACACTACTGCTTTTACTAACTTAGAAGTCTGTTTATATGCTTGTTTAAATCTCTGGTGTGGGTATGTGTTTACACCATGCTTTGGTTTGTAAATTTTAGCTTCCTTCTGGAAATATTAGCTTCTTACCACTAGAACAAATTGATTTCATCTATCTTCCTCCTCATCTTTAAACATATTATTTATCCAACTTTTAGCCTTTCTGATATAAGGTAAAAATATCTCACTACAATAAGGTTAATAAACAAAGTCAAAGACTACTTAATGAAAAAATATTTTGGAAAGCCAGTCCTTTTGATTAGTAACCAGCCTTAGTACCAGAAAAACTTCAAAGTGCTCTCTAAACATTGAATTTTCATCAGTGATGTTGCAAGCCTTAGTTCTCATCTTTCATGCTTACCCATGCAACAACTTCAAAAGGATTAAAAAGAAAGAATGACAATTTCTCAAAGCAACCCTGTGCTCAGGCCAGTTAGGCCAGTAAGGCCAGTAAGGCCAGTAATCTTTTCTTTAGCTAACATGCATTTACAACCAGATAATTGCTTCATTACATTATGCTTTAATAAATGTAATAATTAACATTTGTTACAAAAAAAGCAAATATTGCAAACCATTGAGAAATGAAATCCAGAGCCCAAGGGATTTCTAGAAGAAAATGAAAAAGAGTTAGACAGCGTCAAATATAGACATCTTCAAAGGGAAAGAGATCATTTAAACTTTACTTACTGAAACATGTTCTTGCATACTTGATCGTTTTTGTCATCTCGCTTGTTATAATCCAGCTAGTGAATGTTCAAAGAACATAAAATCCTACAAATAAATAAACTGAGCATGAGTGAATTTACAAAAAGGCGACAATTGAGATCAGGAGTCTCACAGGTAAGCTTTGATTATATAAAGCAATTACGTTTCCCAGTGGTGTTTTAGCAACATGAGATTCATCAGTAAGAGGAAAGTCAAAACGTTTTAAGCTTCATGACACTTACATGTCTAGTTTTCAGAGTACAAGTTACTTGGAAATCTTATTGGAATCAGCAGGGTATCATCAGTCAAAATCTTAGGTGATCAAGACAGTGCAGACTTCGACTGCAGGACGTTCTCTGTCAGTGTGGGATGTTGTAATAGACACTGACCTTTGAACAAGTATTAGATATATCCTCATGGACTGTGTGGTTAGCAAGCAGGTAGTCATCTGAGGAAGTACTGAAAACTATACCAGAGGGAACTTAGAAATGGTAATTAGGGCTGTGGGTTGTGGAGTGGTAGCCTCAAACCAGAGAAGACCGAAAATTAGATAGTACTTGCGAATTTTGCTGTTTGGATCAGGGAGTTCTCATACCAGCTACTTTCTGATGGTGTCTCTCTCAACACAAGGTAATGAAATGGACACAGTATTTAAAAATTAAAAACATGGGATGCCTGGGTGGCTCAGTTGGTTAAGCATCCGACTTCAGCTCAGGTCATGATCTGAGTTCGTGAGTTTGAGCCCCACATCTGGCTCTGTGCTGACAGCTCAGAGCCTAGAGCCTGGTTCAGATTCTAGTCTCCCTCTCTCTTTGCCCCTCCCCTGCTTGCACTCTGTCTCTTTAACTCTTTCAAAAATAAATAAAAATATTTTAAAAAATGTTAAAAATTAAAAACACAATTCTTCTTGTCCAATTATATGTAGAAGTAAGTAATTTATCTTGTATCTATGTAATTATCTAATACATGTCAGAAATTGTTTTAAAAGCTATATTGGCCAAAAACAAGTGCAAATGTTTTATATTATGGTAAAAAGGAAAAGAAAGAACTGGATGGGGCCATTAGATATTCTCAGTAAGTAGGTTTTTCCCTGAGACAATGGAGTTAAAAAGTTATCTTTTCAGGTGATTGGGGTGTCATCTGGATCAGAGCTTCTCCAATTCATAGTGCATAGTGAATTACTGACAGTACATTTTACTGTTTGTCTGTTAAATGATATAAGTGGGTAGGGAAGATTAAAGATGATCTGGTTTTTATTTTTTAAATATTTTTTAAATGTGCATTTTTATTTTGAAAGAGAGAAAGAGCATGAGCAGGGGAGGGGCAGAGAAAGAAGACAGAGAATCCCAAGGAGACTCCACATTGTCAGCACAGAGCCTGATGCAGGGCTTGAACTCAGGAATTGTGAGATCATGACCTGAGCTGAAATCAGGAGTCAGATGCTTAACTGACTGAGCCACCCAGGCACCCTAAAATGATCTGTTTTTTAATATAAACATTAAGTGTGGAGCTTAATCAGAGAGGCCAAATTAAGGTTTTGGGGAGAGGGTGTGTATGTGTGTGTCTTCTGTGTGTGTCTTTGGAAAAAACGGAGTAGATAGAGCCATTTTTCCCCCCACAGCAGCCCACATTAAAATACCCATAAGATTTAGGATCCTAAAACCCTGAAGGACAACAAAATATGAAATGAAGAATGTAGGTTTATTTTAAAATTCCATGGGTTTTTGTGAGAGCATTGACAATGGTAAGCAGTGAGGGAGATATTAGAGGAAAAATTGGGACAGGAGATGGGCAACCATCTGGTGTAGGTGTTACTTGACTTCTGTTTTCTATCACCAATCTCCACACCAGGAAGTAAATATTTTTGATAAAATTATAAGTTGGAAAGAAAGGACAAAGATGTAACATCTTTGTAATAATGGAAGCTGATAAATATTAACCCCTCCCTCTGAATTCATGTATCCATGTTCATGTTTGAAGGGAAGAAAACTACTTTTCACATTCTGAGTGTCACTTAGTTCATTGTTAAACAATGAAACGGTCCTGAACTTTACCCAGGATCAATAATGTGATGTTTACATATTTTTTCAGTGAAAATGAAAATGAGCCAAAAATCTAAATTGAAATGGAAAGAGAATGGATAACTAAGTTTTTGAAGAAATGCTGAGTAGCACATGACAGGGCACTGCTTCTTGTTTTTTTTAATCTTTTTAATGTTTATTTATTTTTGGGAGAGAAAGACAGAACATGAGCAGGCAAGGGGCAGAGACAGGGAGATAGAGAATCCGAAGCCGGCTCCACGCTCTGAGCTGTCAGCACAGAGCCCTACGTGGGGCTCGAACTCAGGAACAGCAAGATCATGACCTGAGCCAAAGTTGGAAGTTTAACCAACTGAGCCACCCAGGTGCCCCGACAGGGCACCAATTCTTGACGAAGACCGTGTATGAGGGTCAGCGGAGAAAGGCTGTCTATTAGAAATGCAAGCTCCTAAATTCTGACTTCTGAAGAGTTGGTCCCAACCTAGCCTTCTATGCATAAACCTCTGTGGGATAAATGTGGTGCTGTGTAAAATGAGATTGGCTCTGTAGTGATTAATGAGAAAAGGGTGAGAAATAAATCACTCCTATGCTTTTAAGACCATACTTACAGGGGCGCCTGGGTGGCTCAGTTGGTCGAGTGTCAGACTCTTGATTTTGGCTCAGGTCATGATCCCAGGGTTGTGGGATCGAGTCCTGTGTTGGGCTCTGCACTGAGCATGGAGCCTGCTTAAGATTCTCTCTCTCTCACTCTCTCTCTCTCTCTCTCTCTCTCTCTCTCTCTGCCCTTCTCCTCTGCTTGTACACGCTGTCTCTGTCTAAAATAAAAAAATAAATTAAAAAAAGAGCATACTTACAAAGAGAAAACAAGCACCAATCATTGCTGCTTTGACTGTCACATCTAGATCTGCGGGAACATGAATTCCGAAGTTGTCAGCATTGGTAAAGACATCATTTACAAATCCTGACCAGTACTTTGAAATCTTCCCAATTGTAAGTTTTTCATTAATGGTCTTCACCTTTGAAAAGAAAATAAGAGATGTTAAACCTGAAGGTGAAATGGATGGCTTTACATATCTTAGTATGTTTGCTTCGAGAGAGATGTGAATTATTTTATTAGTCATCTGTAAATGACAGTTCCATGTCATTCATTCTGTTATATAAGCATAAGTTTGGAGATTTAACTTTCCAGTTTACTCTTCAGGAATTTTGCCTTTTTGACAGTTTTTTGATTCATCATAATTCCTTTATTTTTTCTTGCTTTTTGTATGCAGATTGAGAAAATAATAGCAATAAATAATTAAGGCCAGGCTACCACAAGATGGCAGCAGGTACATAGTCTCAATTACATGGTCTAACCTTGAAGGTAATTCCATTACCTGAAGTCTAGATTTTAAACCTGAATTCTTCAATAACAACAACAACAACAACAAAAGGAAGAAAAAGCAAAAGAAAATATTTTTGAGAAATATTGGAGAAACAATTTTTAGAAGAAATTCGTTTCTAAGTACAATTTGTAAACTTTAAATTTTTATTGTTAAGATTATAGAATTACTAACATATTTAAACATTATCAGCTATTGCTTAATCTCATTTTTATATTATACTCCAAAATTTACTAGGTCTTTCCTTTATAACTAAACCTAAGTCCTATTTTCACTAAAAAAAAAAAGAAAAAAAAATCCTCTGGACAAATGTAGCACAGGAAATTCAGATTAATTTGACATCAAAAATCTATAGTCCTTCACAGCTAGAAGAAATCTACAGTTAAACTTTATCAACTATTCATTTGTTTGCCCCGTTTCTCATTCAAAGGCTGAAAGGATTCAATATAAATTGTTACTTTATGTATAGTGGGAAAAGATAGAAATGGAGAAGGTTACTTAGGACATCGATATACCTTTACTAAAACTTTTTATTTCTCAATCATAGGACATATTTTTATCTTTTAGTGTTAGGAAAGCATGCCAAGTCTTTTTGGAGTGGGGTAGAGTTACAACAGTTTGCTTTGTAAAATTTCCATCACATTCTCTGTAAATAGTGTTCGCTAAAGTTCCTCAAACTGAATGTCCCAGGTGGGCTATATATGAATGTATGAATGAAGGAAGGGATGAATAATAAATAGACACTTTAAATGAGCTCTCCTTTGCCTAAAAGATATTTCCAGGAATAGTAGTTAACATAGTTCTTATTGTTACAACTGAATGTACAACTACCTATTGTTTTCTAACATTGAGTTAACATGTTAAACATTTAACTGTTTATGTTTATGTAAGTGCAGATTGTTTTGTAAAATGAACTTAGCAAGTCTTATGATTATAGCTTTTAAATTAGTGATGTTTTCTCAAATGTGGATCTTGAGAAACTTAACAGTAGACCATAGGGGAAGAGTAGGGGGAAAAAAGTTACAGAGAGGGAGGTAGGCAAATCATAAGATCTCTTAAATACACACTGAGGGTTGATGGGAGGTGGGGGAGAGGGGAAAGTGGGTGATGGGCATTGAGGAAGGCACTTGTTGGAACGAGCACTGGATGTTGTATGGAAGCCAATTTGACAAAAAATTATGTTAAAAAATAAATTAGTGATTTTTAATGGAGTGTACTTCTTAGATGAGATCTGAAGTAGGATATGTTACCACCAGAGCTAGAGGAAAAGATGATCTAATTTAAGGTGATTCTAAGCTAATATATATGTACTTTATACCATGGGTGATGTAATTCCACATAAATCAAAAACGTTTTAGTGTGTTATTTTTATTTTATTATTATTTTTAAGTTTATTTATTTATTTTTGAGAGAAAGAGACAGTACGAGCTGGGGAAGGGCAGAGAGAGAGGGGCTCAAACTCGGGAACTGTGAGATTCTGACCTGATTCTTAACCAACTGAGCCCCCCAGGTGCTCCTTAGTATGCTTTAAAAACAAAAACAAAAACAAAAAACCTTGAACTTAGTATATCTGAAATTATGAGTTCTTACTGGCACGCACAATATGGGCTTATTACATTATTTCACAAATATATTATTTTCTAAATTTATTTCAGAGATATCCCATGATTTGAATATTTTAACATTGAATTCTGTTGCAAGCCATGAGGACCTAAGTGAAAACCTCCTTCACTCTGTCAACCGTACCTCAAAATCCACATCGCCAAAACAGCCACATGTTGCACAAGGACCAACAATTTTCAAAATATCTTCTTTGTTTGCATTTTGGATTGTGAATTTAGGCAGAAAGGGGTCCCACTTCTGTGCAACATAACCAACTATAGTACCAGGAGGGGCTTGGATTTCTAACTGCAAGAAGAGATAATAATAAAATAAGATTTTCCTACAGTTAATTGTATTTTAATTTTACAAGTCGCTTTCCTTCTAAACAGTAACTTTTATGAAATTATTTTTGTATTCTACAAAATATTCTAAATATCTGCTTCTAAGGAAGCACGGCAGTGGATTTTTTTCATATTTTATGGAAACAAAGATATTCACTATACAGGTATTTGCTTGGCATTACTCACTAAAAATTCATGTCTTTCTTTGATCTTACTTCCCTGAAGAGAACCTCTCCCAGAACGGTCTTCTGACCCTGGGACACTGTCTTCTTTGGCATTTTGTTCCGGGTGTGGCGGTTGGCCAGGCACTGTTTCCTGTGTCTTCCACTGCCTCTAATGTGTTGCCACAACACACATCTATTTGTAACCCTCACTTACCAGTTAACTATTCATGATTGTTTGCCCTTCAGGCTGTCAGCTTCCAGCTTCTCTGGGTTCAATTAAAAACAAATGCTTCTTGTGAAGTTACAGTTTTACACACCGATTTGATTGCTGTTTCACTTTTTCCAAAGTGTGAGAGACTTGTAATTGCATTTTTAGGCTTTACTTTAGTGCTGTACCCCATTACTTTCATTTCCTAAATTTCCTTACTTTTCATCATGTTGTATTTCAGCATGTTTATATGGTCAAACCAAGTCAGACCAAGTTGTGAAATAAGCCAGAGGTGGGTGAAGATAGTGACAATTGTTTGCTTTTAAATCCAATCCACTCCTTATAATCTGTTTTCCTTTTGTCTTTTTTTTTTTTTTTATTATTTATTAAGTTCATAGTCATACGTGTGTATCTGTAGTGCTCTTGGATCAACAAAGGTGGTTTCAATAAGAGTGCCTAGAATTACAGGGATTCGACTTGTCAAATCGCTAAATTGTACACCTGAAGCTAATGTAACATTGTATGTCAACTACACTTAAATTAAAAACAAACAAACAAAAAAAAACACTGAAAAGGCAGAATTATATAGATTTGTTCTGGGATCACTTTCAAAATAATTGGCTTGATTCTGAGCAAATCTTTAAAAACTTGTTAAGCGGTATCAGATACATCTTACTTTTAATTTATGTGACATTGGAATACTATGAAATAAAACATCAATTATCAGAAACATTCATCAGAAACATCAGAAACATTCAAATGGATATATTATATTATACTGATTATACCATCTTAAAGCATATTAGATCTTAAATATCCTTAGTAGGAGGATGAAAATTCTTGGACACCAAATGAGTACCTTAGCCACTTTATCACTTAGTCAAGTAATTGCCTATAACAATTGGAGGATTAGCTTCAATATATATTCCAGAAACTTCCCTACTTAACCCCAATTCATATTAATATTTTTTTTCTCATCTTGCTAAGTAGAGTACTTATACATAGGTGCACAGTAGAGAAACTTGGGCTTGAATAAGTATACCTGGATCAAGCCCCATTCATGATATTTCCTGGATGTGTGATCGTAGGTAAGCTACCTCCACTCTCTAAGCCCTAGTTACCTCAATTGCTAAATATGGAGAGTAAAATCTATTCTTTCTAGCTCATAGAGATGTTATGATATCAAAGACATTAGAATAAGTAAAGGTTCCTTATCAACTTAACTGCATTATGTCAGTGGAAGTTATTATAGATCTACTAGATAATGATGAAAATCTATTATATATTAAAATAAAATAATGAAATGATTCCCTTCAGAACAATAGCATAGTCTTGCCAAGGTTTAAAGTTTGTCATAAATGGATGAATGGAATGTGAGATTCTGTACTAAAACTGATACCTAACCAAGAGAACACCTTGGAAGATTTTAGTATTACTTAGTACTTCCCGAACTTTGCTCCAGTTAGAGAAGACAAAGGGTAGATTTACTTAATGGTGGAACTCATAGGTATTCCAGTTATGTGGCTAACACAGAGATTCAGGAGGATGTGTCCCATTTACATGATGCATGAGCTGTCTGCCAATTAACAAAACGAAAGCCACTACAGTTTTTGGTTGGGAAAAAAACAAAAACAAAAACGAAACAAAACAAAAAACTAGTGAATCACCATCCTTAAGCTGTTTGGATCCTAAAGGAGCAACTGATAGGGGAATTGCCTTATAGCTCCAGATGAATGCCATTTGTTAAATAAATAATTGCCAACCTTTTCAAACGTAGAAAAATAAAAGTACACCCAGAGCCAATGACTAACCTCTTGCAGGTAGCAAGGGCACCAGCAGCTATTACACCTCAAGGGCCTGTTTACTGTAATCACCTCCCGACCTGAGTGATCCATGACCTTCAGAGTGCAAGCTCGAAGTGTGGAACAGAAAGTACGATTGAAGCAGATGCTTTCTTCCACTGCAAAGTAAATTCTTTGTCCCAAACTGTTTTTAATCTCATATTTGTTGGAGGTCTCAGTGCCAAGTATCACTAAGGGAGCAAAAAAACCAAAAAACCAAAAAAACCAATCATCAAAACAGTGCTATTGCCTAGGATCAAATCTTTCAATAAGTAAAAGGGGTAGTGTTATTAAAAGAAAACAGTAGCTAATTATTAAGTATGGGGTATCTTCTTCACCCAAATCTACTTCCATGCTCTAAAATTTGAGGACTTAGGGGCGCCTGGGTGGCGCAGTCGGTTAAGCGTCCGACTTCAGCCAGGTCACGATCTCGCGGTCCGGGAGTTCGAGCCCCGCGTCAGGCTCTGGGCTGATGGCTCGGAGCCTGGAGCCTGTTTCCGATTCTGTGTCTCCCTCTCTCTCTGCCCCTCCCCGGTTCATGCTCTGTCTCTCTCTGTCCCAAAAATAAATAAAAACGTTGAAAAAAAAAATTTAAAATTTGAGGACTTAGCTATGGAAATCAAAGTAAACTCAGAGCAAAGCTGTGTGATGATTACATTTTGATTCCAGATATAGGACCTACTGGGCACATGTAGTTCCACATTTCAACTAAGGAAGCAAGGCTGTAAAGAATGGAATCCTCAAGTAATTCTAACACTGCTGTGGAATTTACGGGATGACTCACAGCATAGTAATGATTTTGTTTAAAATCTATTTGACAGTGTATCTATGGCCACGGGCTATCCTGCTACCTATATATTACGATTTTGACATATTTTAGATGTTAAGGACAAAAAATAATTAATTGGAATTCAGTCAGTCATCGAAAATCTATGTACTGTTGAATAACATGCCATTTGATGAATCACCGGTGAAATGATAAAACATCAAATTTTGTTTGATGGGTTTTTGTTATTTACTCACTTATCATTTTCAAGTTTTTATTTAAATTCCAATTAGTTAACATATAGTGTAATATTAGTTTCAAGAGTAGAATGGGTTTTTGTTATTTAGTCTCAAACTTGATTTCCATTTATGAAATTATTAAGTAAATGTAAATTATTACCAAACATGGAAATGATAAAATCTTTTGTTATTTTAAGATAAAAATTGTTAGATCCCTGACAAAATATTATCAAAGACTCGGAGAGTTCATGCTTTTAGGTGTACCTATATCAGACTAACAATTTACTTCAAATGTTTATTTTAAAAGACCTACTGATCTTTTTTTAAAAAAAAATTAATGTTTATTAATTTTTGAGAGACTGAGAGGGGGAGGAGCAGAGACAGAGGAAGACACAGAATCTGAAACAGACTCCAGGCAACAAGCTGTCAGTACAGAGCCTGACCTGGGGCTCAAACTCACAAACTGTGACAGCATGAAGTTGGAAGCTTAACCAACTGAGCCACCCAGGCACCCTGACCTACTGATCTTTTTGATCTACCTTTATCCTCAATTTAACATTATTGTTTAGAAGATATTTAAATATAACAAAATTTCTGAAGCCTAAAGTATTTTTAACCGTTTTAATAAGTATAGAATATAATATACTTACTTCCAAGAAGCTCCACCTGCTGGTGTATAATTATCAGGTCTAACTGTTAAAGAATGACATAAAGGAAACAAAAGGTATTACATCACACTTTGAAAACCTTTGGAGATATTACTATTAACTTGCTTATCACATGACATTCATTAATTTCCATGTTCTTTACTGGGGAAATGGTTGAAAACAGCTCACATTTTATAATGAAAAAGAAGATACATTTTTTAATTCAAGTAAAAATTTTTAAAAAAATACAGGAACCCTGAAAATTCCAAGGCAGAAATGCCAAGAATCAGAATAAGAACTGTGGTTAACTCTGTGTTCTCCTGTGATAAAGTGCTAATAGAGTAACTCTTGGAAACAATACTTGGAGAAGATTTTAAAACAGTCTCTGAACAATGATGCCTAAAAGGTTTCAAAACTCATTTTTTTAAAGGAAATGAAACAAAACATCAATGACCCCTGAATGCCTGGCCTTTCCTCTCCACCCTGCCTAACTTCTCTTTCACTCTCAACTCATTCCTCATAGCGATAAAATGTCTTTGTTAAAGCTGAGAGAGGTTATTTTATAAATTATTCTCACTCACACCTTCCTTTGGATTAGAAAACACGAACAAATCCTGCTGATACCAACAAAATACCCATTTAAGCAGAATAAGTTACGCCACTAACAGCTAATATAAGGAAAGTTGCTTTATGTAATTAAAAATGAAGTTAACTTACAGAGATAAAAATGGCCACAGATAGTTGAGAATGACTATATTAAAAAGTATACAATGCAGATTTTTAAAGGAAATATTCAAATATGTTGTGAGAATGAATTTTCACTAAGGTAGACTCGTGAACCCTGAAGACCATTGTCTTTTCTAACACTTTCTTTTCTATTTCACCTCTAAATTATCTTCACTTTATTTTCCCTTCACATTAATAAACTCACTGGTAATGCTTGAGCTGAAATAGTCATTAGTAATATTGGGTATTGATTGGGCATCACAAGTCCGGAAAATTTGACGTTACATTATTTCCTTCATTCTCCTTGTATATCCTGAGGTACAGGCAAAACTAAATGTCCTCTATTTAAATTTTATTATTGGTAAAAGAGTGCATGGGTCCTCTTTTTTTAAGGTTCACAAAAAATCTTTTCCATAAACAATTTATGATTTAAGATATTATAAAACCTATTTTCAGAATTATGGCAATTTTTAAATATTAGAATCAGTCTTTCATAGAGTACTATTGTTAGTTCTGTTCTCTTCTTTTGAGAAAAATGGAGGGTTGAAAGAAAAGTCACAAAGGATATCCACAGTTATTTAGCGGTGGATCCATGAGAGGTAAGTTAGGGATGAAGAAAATTATGGGGGCAAGACTAAGATTTGAATTTAGGAACTTTAATGTTGGTGCCATGGATCAAGTTTTAGTCTTGAAATTTAGAGACTATCAATTGAGATCCATTCCACATTGGAAGGGTAAATTGTACCTCTCTGCTTTCTAATAGTAGCAGTTGTTTATTTAATGGCTACCGTGAGGTAGTCCTTGTGGTAGATATTTTGACATAGCATATGATGTAATCCTCACAAAAACTTAGAGACATAGGCATCATTACATTTATCTTGTGAAGAAACAATCCCAGAGAGATTAAGCAGTTTGCCCAGGATCACAGAGCTTGTAAATGGTTGGGCTAGGACTTGAACCTAGATTGATTGTACTGCCACCAGTTTTGACATGCTTTCTACTCTGTTGTATTGGCATCACTAAACAAGTGTTAGGAACTGGGATAAACAATTCTTAAGTGATACTGTGGAACTTCTGAATACCTTTCCTTCCTATTTTCTCTACCCTTACACCCACCGCAGCCTCTGTAATAACATTTGATTTGATCTGTCTCTGTGGGCAATACCCCTGGATTTGAGGGTCTTGTTTTGTTCTTGCAGTTTCCTTCAAGTAGTGCTAGGCCACTTACACACTGTGCTCCAAATGAGCCCTTACCACTCTTTGCTATTATTTGATGGACCAGGAATCTTGGAAACTTTAAACAGATTGGATCACATATTTAGGTGTCAGGGCCAGTAAAGCACTCAAGTAGGAAAGCCATAGGATAGAAATCAAACGACAGCCTTGGATATGTAGCTTAAGAATAAATTCTTATGTATAACTTATCAGGTTTACAAGTATTCCACTTAGTATACATACTTCCAAATAAATAGGATCTATACATGTGTCTTTGTAGACTTAACTCACTACTCTTACCTATAGGCAACTAAATTATAATAATTATCCTTTGTTTTGACACTAATAGTATAAAATGATATTACCTATTAGAACGTGTTAATCCAGAGAGATAATCTATTTGTTTTATATTTAGGTTTAACTCTACATGAACAACATAAATGCATACACATACATCCATACATGTATACACATGTGTACATGTGTATATATGCATTATATATTTACATACATACCTGAAAATTTATTTTCAAACTGTTAATGGAAAAAAGATTTTCATTAGTCATTGGATGGACTTGATTAAAGGAGAATAGATGTGTTTTTAAATTTTTACTGTGATTTTTTTTTAATTTAGAAGGATTTCTTGTATTTTCCTGTTTATTGAAGAATGTACTATTTTCAAACGTTCATGATTTTATTCAGTTCTTACAGTTCTCAGATAAAATTTAACACACAAAAATTCATTTTATATATATCTCTTGCGGACTTGTGGCATAAAACATTTAAAATGCTCATTTACCCTGTTTAAGTACACTGCTTTAACGCGAGTAAGTGTTCTTTTAGTGTAAAGTGAATAAGTTATAGTTCCCTTTGAAGTAAGATATTTGCCAATTTGTGGCATATTTTTATTTTCTGAAATAGATCACCAAAGGTATAGGTATGGAAAATCGACTTCATTTTAGAACTGAAGCCAATGGGCTCATATCTCTATTTATGGAATGTAAAAAAAAATGTATTCATGTCAAGCATCTGGCTCCGGGTGTGTCATCATTCATGGATGGAAGAAGAATATGTGATGACCATATGTGATCATCAAACCTCAGCCCTCTGGCACTGGTATATCACTTTTATACTTGGCAAAACCTTGTCTGACAACATTCCCAAACAGCTTGCAGCAGTTAATCAACTCTAGTCAGCTATTACAGCTGATCCTTTCTGCAGATGGAAGATGGTAGGTTAGCTTTTCCAGCTCTTTTCCACATCTCCCTGAGCTCTCCAGTCTCTGTAGTACATTTGTCTGCCAGTGGGTTTCTGGAGAAGGCATCTGCAATTATAAACATTTTCCCAGGAACATATGCTGCATGCAGCTTAAACCCTATCAGGCATAACAGAAATCTCTTGTACCTTAAGGGAATTAACACAGAGATTTGATTTTGATAAAGGAGATAGACTTTATGGTTTGAAAGAATGCCAAACAAGCTGAAAATTGCAGCAGATGTGCTGACATCTCAATATCAGTGTATTTCCGATCTTCTGTGGGATAAAGTACAAAAGCAACAATAATATATAAAAATATAATTGTCCTTTGTGTGCCACATAATTCAGAGGATGGTATTTCTTGATTGATTTATTATAGGTCTTTAATCACCGCTTACCCTCCAATGACTATGTCTAATAGTAATATGATCTTGTAAGCACATCGGCCTAAAGATGCAACAGTATCAAAGACAATGATGTTAACTTGGTAACTTGCTTTCCCTTGGATTTATAGTCATCTTTTGAGATTCAGTTGAGGACCCTGAATTCTTAGATCATTATGGAAGTCTCTCCTGAGTACTTAGATCCTTAACGGCTTTCTCTGCTCTATGCACCTGTACACATTACAACTGTGTGCTTATATGGCTTTAGTACATCACCTTGCACTTCTTGTCAACACTTTTTGCATGCCAATTAGATTACAGAGTGTTTGGGTGAGAGGGACTAGGTTTTATGCTTTTTACATGTCTCGATTATAGCAAGTACTCAATAAATATTCTTTAATTAAATAGCTGTAGGTGACTAGACGTGTTAGGCAATTCCTTGAGGATACATTTGCTTATACCTTGAGCAATGAGCAGAAGGAGGATAAATGTGCTAAACAGCTCCATCAAAAATGTTTAGTGTCATCACTCTGCCAAATAAATAAGAAAAATAGAACTGGCAATAAAAGAGAATGAATTTCTTTCCAAATAATAGAAACAATTTTTTTTCATAATTTCATGATTTATAATCTTTTCTCACTTCAACACGTCATTTGTTGAAGTCCTTCAACCTTGGTTAATGATGAGGGAGCATAAGGCAAGCTGAGAGCAAAGTACAAGCTAGCACCCCCACTCCCACGTGGAATATGTGTGATACTCCTCGGACACTCCTGGCTGCCCAAGAACAAAGGAAAGGGCTTTAAGTGCTTGCCATGGTGATGTGAGAAACCAAGGCAAATGAAAAATTAAATTCCCTTACTGCCTACAGCCCATTGGCAAGTCCTTGAAACCGGCAGAGTGACCTAGGAGCTCAGCTGTCTCGATGATGACACTTTGCTGGGGGCAAAAGGGAATCTTGACTTAACATTATCCTGCCCCCCCCCCCATCCTGTAAATCTACTTTAACATCTAAAAATCCCTTTGGAAACTTCCTTTGTCTCAGCTTCCCCAAGATGTATGCTGGCAATCATATTCCAAGCTTATGGCCCCCTGATATACGCCTGAAGGGTCTCATGACTGAGGTTTTACTAAATGGTAATAAATGGTGTTTTCCCAATAGGGGCCTGGAAACCTGGCTTCCAAAATTCCTTAGTGATTTACTCTATCCCTAACCCCCTCCCAACTGGAAGGTATATAATTAGTTACCCATCACAACCCCAGTGCAGCTCTTTCTGCCCAGGGGTCCTGTCCCCGTGCTTTAATAAGATCACTTTTTTGCACCAAAGAAGTCTTCAAGAATTCTTTCTTGGCTGTCAGCCCCGAACCCCCATCACCCCAAAACCCCATCAGTTGAAAAGCAAGAAACCAAGTTGGTATTCACTTTAAGGGGCAAACGTGTGTAGAAATAGAAAAAACACCTGGCTTAAATATTCTAGCCCAGGAGGAAGACTGCCTGGCCGAGGGAGAGCTGGCTGCCACACTTGGTTCTCTGGGTGGGGATATGAGGGGTGAAAGCTGCGGTCAGGGGCTGGAGCTCCAGGAAGAAAGCCAGGCAGACCTCTGCTTCTTTGGTCCTGTGCATCTGCAAGAGAATGAAAATCTCAGCCCATATTTAAATTTACGCCATTTCTTTCATTTTTCTCATAGTATCTGTGACTTCTGAATTCAGAGGACCAATGATCTCCTGCCTCCTCTACTGCCTTTCCTGCATTTTCCCTATTCACCGTTGCGGTAACTTACCCCCTAAACCAAAGGAATAGGAGTGCGGAAGATTGCTAGTAGTGGTTGTGAGAAAAATGGTGGATAATTTGGGCAAAATAAATGATTTCCAAATATATATATATATTTAATGTTTATTTTTGAGACAGAGAGAGACATAGCATGAACGGGGGAGGGTCAGAGAGAGAGGAAGACACAGAATCTGAAGCAGACTACAGGCTCCGAGCTGTCAGCACAGAGCCCGCGGCGCCTCGAACTCAAGGACTGTGAGATCGTGACCTGAGCCGAAGTCGGAAGCTTAACAGACTGAGGCACCCAGGCGCCCCTAAAAATATATTTTTTGGAGGCACATGAAACGTCTGCTCAAAGAGCTGCAAAATTATAAACTCCAAAGTGAAACGGTAAAAGGAACTAGATATTCTCTACTCCTAAAAGGATAAACTTAGACATAAGTTTTGAATCATAATTCTGAGTTTCAAGGCATAGTCTCCCCTAAATATTATGAGGGTACCTTGTAATTGCTGAGGCTGTTTTATCGTTTATCAATCCTACTGCTATTGCAAAGTTTGCTTCAGGTGCTTATTCTTTCCGCTGTACCAGAACCACGTGGAGGGCTTGTTCAAACACAAATTCCTGGGCCCCTTTCTGGAGTTTCTGATTTCAGGAGTTGGGGATGGGGCTGAGGCTTGAATTTGCATTTCTATTTCCAGATGAACTAATGCTGCCCCCTGACCATATACTTTGAGAACTAGTGGTTTAATTCTATATACTATGAGAACACACAAATCTAATTGATGAGGTTAAGGGTAGTATAATATCTAATGGAGCTTTGGTTTCTCAGTACTTTGTAATAAAGCACCCCAAAATTTTTGATAGTGTGAATGCCTTTGTAAGCTTACCCGGTATTACAAAAGATAAAATACGGAATTCTTTAATGTTTGGCTTTGATTTTTTTTAGAGAATCACCTGTTTTCTATATTATTGCCAGGTGAAAATGTTACTATTTCACTTATCTGTTAGCTTCAAATTTAGAGATTTGCTGCATTAGTCAGGAGCCTGTGTATTATTATGTATAAGCCCTAATGCATGAAAAAGTCTTCTTTTTTAAAAAAATATAAATTACAGCTTTTCTAGTATCATTTTTCCTTTTTCTCTTCCCATGACTGCCATTTATATTACTCCCTAATTAGATACCATTTTTTTCCCAAAGATTATCAGAGTTTTTACTCCTCGTCTTTACGAATCCATAAATTATTGGAGTTCTCACACCTGCATTCATTTAGTCCGACAACACTATGCTGTCTTAGATTGAACATAGGTGTGGATCAAGATTCATGATAGTTATTTTCAAAAATTATAGGGACCATTATGAAAACAAATCATTGTCACTATTCTAAAGACATATGAATGGGAAGGACAAAGGAAAATTGTTCTGGTTTACTGTAAGGAAGAAATTTATAACAGCTGCACGCAGATTTGGATAAGTACCCTCACTATACATAGACTAAAGTTGGAGTGACATCTATATAATTCTCAGATTAGAATGACCTTCCTTCAGCACTGATACCAAATTCATGCAAGTTGTATGTATGTGGGGGTATAGTTTTCAGAATCCTTTAAGTCTCTAAAAAATAAATTTGAAGAAAGGACTAAGTTTCCTTTGGAGAAAGTAAGTTCTCCACTATTAAGAGAATTCAAGCATAGCGTGAATGAGTTCTTGGAGAGGGATTAAAAACAAACAAACAAAAACTGGTGAAGGAACATGGACATCCAGTGGATGGTCCTTTAAACATTTACATAAACTTTGTAGTAATGATAGGCTCATTAAGGTTGTGTATACATGTGGTGTTAATGAGGAACAGTTGCCAGGTGATTCATGTATTTATTTAACCTTCAGGTTGGAAGAATGGATCAAGATAGGTATTTAAGTTTGTACATTGAGAATTTGGACATTTAGAATTTGGGCATGTTTAGGGTTAGGATCATGTGGAAACAAACTTGTCATTTGGCCTCATTAAACTAGAGGTCCATACCAATGATATATAGCAGTTTGCCTCCCACGGGACTCACCCTGAACTTCTCCCCTCTGGGCATACAAAAAACATACAGGCAAAAGTATTCCTTTTGCTCTTGAGAAGGTGGTCTAAGTGGGACCTCAAGCAGTAAAGTGGGAGGAACACCGTGTAACACCATGTCAGATTTGGGAGAGGAGAGAATGGCCAATCAATAGCAACCGGAAAGAGCAACATGGGAACAAACAATCCTTTCTTGGGTTTAGTGCCAAAAGCACTGTTGTCATTGGCTTTCAGAGAAAAGTAGAGGCAAAACTGTGATGTAGGGAAAACTAGTTCGTAATGATAAAATTGCAGAGAGAAGTTCAACCTGGATGTGGAGGTGTAGGACTATGGCTAGAAAGGGAACTTTATGAAGTGCCAGAAATGTTCTATATCTTAATTTTGTTGGTGGTTACAAGTGCTCTTTAGTTAAAAAATCATGAACCTGGGGCACCTGGGTGGCTCAGTCGGGTGAGCTTCTGACTCTGGATCTCAGCTCAGGTCTTGATCTCATAGTCGGGAGTTTAACCCATAAGACTCCATACATAAGGCTCTACTACTTAATAGTGGAGAACTTTTAAGTACATAAAAAAATAATGTACTTCAGTTTGGTGCTCTTTATGCACTTTACACGTGTTATCCTTCAATTTAAAAAACATATATAAGGATCAATTTTTTAAGTGTGTTTAATGTTTACTTATTTTTGAGAGAGAGAGAGGGAGAGCTAGGGATGGGGCAGAGAGAGAAGGAAACAGAAGATCTGAGTGCTGATCCATGCTGTCAGTGCAAAGCCTGATGCAGGGCTCGAAATCACAAACCGTGAGATCATGACCTGAGCCAAAGTGGGACGTTTAACCGATTGAGCCACCCAGGCGTTCCTGTCTACCAAAATGTTTTAAGTAAATAATGATGATAATCTGTCTTGCCCTCTCAAACCAGATTTCTGATTCAAAAGGAAGCTTCCTTTTCATTTCTTTTAAATAGAATAGAGTCTCTGACAGATGTTTTGCCCACTTCATGTGCTATTTGAAATAGGTTGCAGGAGTATTGGGTTTCCATCTGAAATTTTGCCTCTAAGTTTAGTGGTGAGTCTTTATCACTACTGAACATCCCTGCTTTTTTGGTAGATTAATCATATTTTGATCTTACTATTGCTTTCCAGTCACAAGTTTCTTCAAAGTCTCAGACCACCAGATAAAGAAGGAACTCCTTTGAATTTCTATCTGGCTTTGAATTTCTATCTACTCTTTTAAAAATGTATAACTAGCTTATAAATATTTCACGTACTCTGCAACTCTTTACCTTACAGGCTACTGTTGTTGCTGTAACTCTTATAAAGTGATGAAGTGTTTTGGATTAAGTGTTTGTGTCAGTCTTCGGTGAAAGAAAAGACTTGTCAAGATTTTTTTTTTTAGTTCGTCTTCAAGTATAAAAATGAGGCACACATATTAAAATTCATGATTTTGTTGTTTCATGTCTATATTTTACAATTTGTTTGAGCTTTCCTTGTGATACTCAGGGACTGGTGTACATTAAATGTTGAAGAAAAACGAAAAGATTATCTCCTCTGTTCCATATTAAATAGCATCCAAAAGTGTATTTTGGTGAAGAAAGCAAATAAGCAATACATGTTTCTTTGAATGCTTCATTAATTTAATTTTAGATATTTTAAATTGGTGTACTCTCTTATCCTATTTGTGATTAGGTTAAAAGGTTTCTGCCAATTATACTAATTTAGCTTCATGCTAAAACTTTTTATTATAGGCTAGAGTTTAATGGTTTGTTCTGATAATGGAATGAAAGCACATCATAATTTCAATTTTTATATAACTTCACAAGTGTTTTCAGTGAGACCGAAACTCATTACTTACAACAAATCCCTCTCTCTTGTCTTTTGAGAAGGTATTTAAAGTAAAACAGCACTTAGGATATTTATGCACTTTTAGGAACTTGAGAAAATTCCCAGCTCCCCCTACAAAATCCTTAATTAATCTGCTTATTTAAATTAGTTATTCTCTGTTTGCTTTTTTATATATAATTTACTATCAAAGAAGTTTTGAAAGATTTTTGCTCAGAAATGATTACTTTTAGTCCATTAAATTTATTAGAATTTACCACTACACCTATTGAATTCTTTAAAATAAATGGGTATATCACACATTTTAAACAACAAATGGGAAATTTAAAAATATTGAACTGTACTTTAACACTTTTTAACTTCTGTGCGAAAAGTTTTCTTCAAATCCCTTTAAACTTGGAATATTCAGCCTGTCTTTGTGTTTGGCATTAAATACTGCCCTTCTGAATTCTGCTATGCAGCTTTTCTTATTAATTCACTATGTTTATATTCATGATAACTAAAACATTGTTTATATCTTAACTTTTACATTCAATCAGGTAGTTTTTATTATTATTTTTTTAAATTTTAATGGAACATGCTCCTTGAAGTTAAAAATTCCAGTGTTCAAAAGTGGTAAGTGACAGGTTTTAAAGTATCAATCTCACTGATTGTAACATCCCTGCAACTGCATATTTTTAGTCATAAATGAGGAAAAATTATTAACCGGCTGTATTTACTCTTACCTTTACAGGCCATGAGGATGTCTGAGTCACTTCTTCAAAGGCAGCCAGGTTAAAAGAAAGGCTTTTCCTGTTGCAGCAAGAAGAAAAAACACAGCATGCATAAAACTTCAGAAGGTGTCTGTCTACTTCACGTCAGCTTACAAATAACAGAGAAAGGGAGTGTCTGTTTCCAGAGTGATGTATTGAATCACTTTGGACAACAGGGGGAGACAAAGATATCACCAAAGGTAAACACTACTCAGAAACCATCATTATCTCTTGGTGGCTGAAGGAACAATTTAAACATCGTAAAAACCGTAAAGGAAGACTCATTTTAAGAGTCTTGTTTTCAAGACTCTTTCAAGTTTCTTTCCTTTTTTTTTAAATTTCTTGGAATATATACCTTTGCATTCACTATTATGTCAGAAACATTCTGTTTCTAGTTTCTAGAAATCGTCTGTGCCAGAGTTTATGATTCATTTTTCTATCCTGTGTTAACTTCCTAAGAGTTCTAAACATAATATTTCATATTTTGGAAATGTTTGAACTTCAATATTATTTTTCTCTTGGGATTTTTTTCACACTCTCTCCCCCCAAAAGCAAATAAGCAGGAAGTAGATTATTCCTTACTATTTATGTAATAAATAAATCTGCATTTTCATTTCTAATTGAATTTGACGAATCAGAGGTATTTGAAAATGCAAGCCCTCAATAACCTTGCAAAGTTAATGGGAACACACAGGTGATATTTAACAGTATTGTATACTGAGAGGGAAAAGAAAGCACTGTAACCTTGCATAGACAGCTCATCTTTCTAAATGCAGGTGACCAAGTGACCATGGAGACTTTGCTCCCCAAGTTAAATCCCCTGGATGGCATGAATTGCAAAGGTTGAACTTGCAAGATTATACTGCATTATAAGTAACACTGTCTACTTCTAAAAATAGTTAAGTGGCCTGATAAACCATAGCTTGTGATGAGAAATTATAAAAGTCATTCTCACAGGTTGTTGGCAGCCAAAGTTTATGTTCTTATTTAGCAAAGAGATATTTCTTTTTATTATTGTTGTTGTTTTGAAGTATTTGGGGTTGAAGAGCTGCTGTTATCTGACCTGTCATTTTGCAGAAGAGGTGAAAAAAGATTAGTATCTTAACGATATTATATGTTTCCTAGATTTCTTACTGTTTGTCCTGGTCATTTGAAAGAAAAACTTCATTCCAAAGAAACTAAGTTGTTATTAACAGTAGCAAACCTGGCAACTTTAAATTATGGTCGTAATTGACCAGTTAATTTTGACTTGCTACAGAGCACCAAGTTTGAAATAAAAATCTAAGCCAATTAAACATATATTGTGGCTGTATGAGGCCATCCATCCATGTATTTAGATATGGCCGTATGACTGAGGGAGGCTTTCAGTATTTAACCTGCAAGGGAGAACTTCCAGGCCACCTAACTTGGTGTGGTGTAGGAAGTGCCCGTTTCTTTCTCTCTCTGTCCTGCTGGGGACAGCATCCATATTGCTCTTTCTTTGCAAAGGCCCAGCAGATACCAACCTGAGGTTTCCCCTTCTCTCCATTCCTTTCTATTTCCCAGCTGTTCTAGAAGAGAGGCTCACAAACCCTTCTGATGGACCTTTCGGACGTTGAAGCGTCCTATTACCAAGTGCTTGTCCTGCCAGGTAGTGTTGCCCCAAGGGCGGGCCTGGCCACCTCTCCCGCTGCAGTTGCTGCGGTCATTCAACTCCACCTGCATGGTGCCCTCAATTCCCTTCTCCTCACACCTGCTGCCTCCACAGGAACACCAGGACCGCCCTGCCCTTCAGCACGGCGCTCAGAACCCTCACTCTGACCTCTCTGCTTTATGCTCTGAAGCCCTTGACTGTTTCAGGCAGCATCAATACCAATTTCCCTTTGCCATCAGGCTGCAGTTTTCTCATCGGCTGGCTTGATTCCACGAAATATAGCCAATACAAGGTGGGCGTGTCTAACAGACATAAACCAGGGGATCGCAGTGCAAAAAAGGAGACTTAAAAATGAATTCTCAGGAAACAAGACAACGGGTCTGCCCCTTTACAGGAAACTGCCCTCTCCTGAGGCTTGCTCTGCTGCTCTGCTCCTTGGGCGTGCTCATTTTCTGAGGATGTTCTGCCTTGCCTGTCCTTGTCCCTTCTAAAAGAAGGGTCTCTATTTCCACCCCCAACTTCAGCCTTAGCCAAGAGGAAATGGAAAAAAAATTGCATCATGATTTCACTGCAATCACCCCCCCCTACTCATGGCCTTTCTGCTGGACACATTGCAGCTGTTCTGAAGAGCTGTTTATTCAACATTACGTAATTGTTTAGAACTTTCCCTATTATTTAATCACTTCATGGTTAGACACTTGACTCAAATTTTCATGTCTGAAAAGGCTCACCAAAGCAGTCTGCCTCAGTATGAAGGAAGAAGCTGCACATTATTTAAATCCATAGAGTGACAGATAAGCTCCCTGCTATGACAAAAACTGCATTATGCTTCAGATAGCCTCCTTTGAGGAAAGGATGGTGAATGGAGTAAGGTGTAAGCCTACAGGCCTGAGGCAGGACCAAAGACCAAGGAAGGGAAGAGCCAGCTCTAGGAATATTTCATGATTATGTTTGTTTTATTATAAAATTATGGGTTCTTAAAAATTAAATATATACATATACAAACATACATATGTGCATATAAAATTGAATATATATACATACATACATACATATATATATGGAATGAGAAGGAATTATTTTGTTTTCCTGATTTATATTGAGGTATAGTTCCAAAGCACATTTTATTTAGTTGAAACTATGTCTTCTAAAATTCATGACAATGCAGGGCTCCTGGCTCAGTCGGTTAAACATCTGACTTTGGTTCAGGTCATGGTCTCACAGTTCATGGGTTTGAGCCCCGTGTCAGGCTCTGTGCTGACAGCTCAGAGCCTGGAGCCTGCTTGGATTCTGTGTCTCCCTCTCTCTCTGCCTCTTCCCTGCTCACTGAGTCACTTCTTCAAAGGCAGCTCACGCTCATGCTCTCTTTGTCTCTCTCTCTAAAATGAGTAAACATTAAAAAAATTAAAGAAAAATAAAATGCATTATGATGCATAAAGTTACATTTGTTTTTAGCCACTGCCTGTTACTACATTTAATGGATGTTGTCTTTCCGTGGTAATTTAGATTGTTTCCAGTATATAAGGCAGTATGATTTTTATGCCCATGCGTAGCAGTCTTTTGAAGGTGGTGTACATCCAGAAATGAAAATGCTGGCTATGGAGTATGAAGATCCTCATTTTTGCTAAGTATTATTGCAGGATGTACTAAGTACTAGTAAATATTAAGAAATTACTAAGTATCACTGGAGATCATCGGAGACTTGATCTCAAATGTGTTTGTATCAATTTACATTCTCAACAGTGATGGGTAAGTATTCCTATTTCCACATATCCCTTTCAACACTGGCATGGTCAGTGGGGTGTGGAATTAACTAGGGACTTCCAAATATTGATTTATAAGAAGGCAACATCCAGTCTTCTTTACACTATACCTAAGTAATGTAAACGTTTTGTGTCTTTATGTTTTCAGCTATTCCTATCATACTGTATCATATAAGAATCATTAATAGCAAATTTTATGAATAACTGGCCATAAAAGTAATTGCTATAGGTGGGGAATGGTTTGTAAGTGGACCATAATTTAGTGATAAAATAGCTTCTTTCGTTCAGTGAGTCTTGTGGCATAATCAGTTAAAATGTGAATCCACTTTTAGCAACCGTGCAGCACGAAAGGCATGCATTTCTATGCATAAATCTTATCCCTTGATTTGTAAGTCCCCATACTGAAACTTGTTGTGGAACAAGACAAGGTGTGTATAAATAAATTAATAAAGAAAATAAACAAATATGTGGTGAAATAGCATTATTATAATCTTTTTCCAGAGTTATTTGATTTATAACCTCAATATTAAATATGAAATATACAATCTCTTAATGTAAACTTGGATGTTTCTTTCCTGGCAATGCACACCTCCTATTTCATTAGTCACTTATGTACACTTTGCAGACCTATCAAAGTGCATATCTCTACTAACTTATTCAAATTTGTCCTTTTGAGACAAGGCTTTATTCATTCATTCACTAAACATGTATTAACTTTTTACCATGTGCATACCATTATAGAGTATACTCAGATGTAATGATATGGCCCCCACTCTGGGGGATACTCTAGTGAAGTATCATAATATAGGATTGTAATATTCTTTTTATTTTTTAAAACTAAGAGTAAGTTTACAACCTCCTGAAAATACAATGATGTAACTCATCCTGTATTTGAAGAGCAAAGCTAACTGGAATCAGTAATGCATCATTCAAAAGATCAATTCTTCGTTTCACACATACATGTCTGATTTTCCTTACCTCTGTTCTTATCAGACAGTAAAATAATAATTATTAAGATTTTTTTCCTTAAAGAATGAAAGGATAGTAAACTGGATTATGCTTCTTAGCTGTTAATAAAAGATGGATGTCTTACCCCCTCTGCATACTTAAAAAGATATCGATCCAAAGGATAAGAAAAAAAGGAAAAGAATTCTGGATACAGAGGAGAATCTGTAAAACTAAGAGAAAGCCGGTTCTAGAGCGAATCTAGAGGGAGGGTCCCCTCTAGATTCACCAAGATGGCATGGAAAGGACTCTAATAATTTAAAGTCCGGTGCATAGACTCCATGGGACAAAAGGTATCCCATAATCAGACTGTAAAGGCTAAGGAAGAAGCAATAGTTTAGTTTGTGTATAGAAGTTCTTTTTAAATTTTCAGCCTTATGCATTTTCTTTACATAGGACTACGTAGAACTGAATGGAGTTTTTTGAAGTATTCTGTCTTCATTGTGTTTTGTCTTCTGGCATTTGCCTGATCTGTTATGTATATTGCAACTTTGAAGAGTTCGTAATTGTACTTTCCTTTAAAAAGTCAAAGTAGGGGCGCCTGGGTGGCGCAGTCGGTTAAGCGTCCGACTTCAGCCAGGTCAC